TTTTTGGTTACTGACGGCTTACTTTATGTCCAGAGGGACGATTCGGACATGTGAATAAGGCGGGGATCGATCATTACAGCAAGCTTATTGATGCACTTTTGCAGAAAGGTTACATCCGTAAAATTCTATCACCATAGAACATATGAAGAAATCGCAACACTTTCTTTGTTTTCTAATAATAATGATAATAATAATAAATTTAGCAGAATTCTGTTTCAATACTGCAGGAATACAACCTTTTGTCACGTTGACTCATTATGATATCCCTCAAGAACTTGAAGAAAGATACGGGGCATGGCTAAGCCCTGAAATACGGTAAGTAGCAAGTTTAATTTTGCATTGTAAATGTTATTTTTGATTTTTATGTTGACATTCTTGTCTTACGGGAAAGAGATGGCTCCTAGTGAAATGCAACCGTCTGGCAGGATGGTTGCTTTATATTCTATTTAGAGGCAATACGTAGAAGATAAAGGGCTATTTATAGGCAACTACCACTTGCTTCAGCCTAATGACAAAAACACCCATTTTTCTTTCTAAACTATGTCACAGGAAAGATTTTGAGCATTATGCGGATATATGCTTCAAATTTTTTGGCAGTCGGGTAAAATACTGGGTGACCCTGAACGAGCCTAATGTCATGGCAATTCGTGGGTACCGATCGGGACTTTACCCCCCCTCTCGATGTTCCGGTTCATATGGCAACTGTACCAAAGGTAACTCTGAGGAGGAGCCTTTAGTAGCTGCACATAACATGATTTTGAGCCATGCGGGCGCTGTTAAAATCTACCGAACTCGATACCAGGTGTATAGACATTATTATTACCTCAAAAAAAGTTATCATTGTCTAGAAATTTGTGTAGTATCTGGGAAAATTTTTCGCTAAATTTTGTGTGTGTTGTTTACAGAAGAAACAAGGAGGTAGTATTGGAATTGTAATGAATGCCGCTTGGTATGAGCCTTTCAGCAACTCTACAGAGGACAGGCTGGCGGCCGAGCGAGCTCTATCTTTCTATTTAAATTGGTGAGCACTTTCTAGAAACAGCTTAGATTAACATTATTATTTTGGGAGCTTAGAAAATAATACCAAATACTGTTTGTGTAAAAAGCATATGATCGACATGAAATGACTCGGATTTAAAACCCCGAATGCAGGTTCTTAGACCCTATAATGTTCGGAAAATATCCCAAAGAGATGCATCGTTTGCTGGGGACCCATTTGCCTGTATTTTCAGACAAAGATGTCGAGATTATGAGAAAAAACAAGTTGGATTTTATTGGTATCAACCACTACACGAGCTTCTATAGCAAGGACTGCATGTACTCTTACTGCGAACCAGGGGCGCCAGGTGTCACCATATCAGAGGGTTATTATCTCCGTACTGCCTTTAGAGATGGTGAGGCTATCGGTGAACCTGTAAGTACACTCATCACCAACTCTTAAGTGATAAATAGTCTAATGTTCTTAATTAGAAAATCAATTTGATTATGTTGAATGCTATATTAGACTGCGGTCGATTGGCTTTTTGTCTACCCTCAAGGAATGGAGAAGATTGTGACATACGTGAAGGATAGATACAACAACACACCAATGTTCATCACGGAAAATGGTTGGTGGAAAATTCATTTTGAAGATTTATTTCGTAAAAAATTGATTTAAAAATTCGTGGAAATAATATTATTCTTGCAGGCCTTGGCGTTGAGAACGAGCCAAATTCATCCATGAGTTACTTCCTTGATGACATCAAAAGAGTTGAATATATGAATAGCTATTTGGATTCATTGGCATTAGCAATCAGGTATTTCATTTTGTTTTATTTTATTATTTTTCTCAGTTGTGTTGAGAAATAGATTCTCTGGTTTTATGCTAAAATATTTATCATCACCACCAATCCCAAACACCTGAAAATTTTAAATATTTCATTTTTGTAACTAATCTTTTCATTTTGTGATATGAACTATTCTCAGTAAAGGTGCAGATGTGAGAGGCTATTTCGCATGGTCATTGCTCGATAACTTTGAATGGATTTTTGGATACACCATAAGATTCGGGCTTTACCATGTTGATTTCGGCACACTCAGGAGAACCCCAAAGTTGTCTGCAGGTCGGTATAGAGAGATTATTGCAGCTTCGAGAGGCTTGCAGACATCTTAAGCAATGGAAATTTATGTGGACCAAGAATGAGACCTATCTTTCTGTACATGATACAGGAGAAGTGTTCGTGAATTGCACGGGCTTGGAAAAAAAATGTCAGCATATTTGTAATGGTAAAACTGTATCCAGAAATCAATATGTACTGTGAAAGGATTCATCATGACTGCTAGCTTAATCAGGGGAAAAAAGGAATTCTGTATCTAGCCAATGTGCCATGAGTTATACCCATAGTTTCATCTTGAGGCTTAAAATGACTGGCATACATCGATACTTGAGTTAAATGGTGAACTCTTGATGTCATCATTGTTCTATAAAAACAGTTCATCAATTATTTAGATTTATTACTAGTCTGAAGCCCAAATACCCGATCCACCACTTGGTCGGGCAATTAGACCTCCAATAGCTATTGGGGCCGCTGATGAGCTCCCTAGACCCAAAGGATTGGTCATTGGGGTCACCGAAGTCAGGATTGACCTCGAAAAGCCCAGAGGTGGGCCTGCTCCTAATGGACGTTTGGAGACCCAAGTCTCGTTGAAGGTGAGCTCCAAATTTCTCTAGGTCGCCATGGCTATGGTATTTATATGGCTTTTTGAACGGAACTTCCTACAGACGACGCCACATGGTAGTGTAAATGACATTGACAGGCTCAAACGACCTTGGATCCGCTTCGACCAGTTCAATAACCTGAAAAAATGTTGAGGGTTGTCCTGACTTAGACACTCTGATGCTTAAGTTAGTACGTGAAGGAGATGATGAACAATGAGAATTGTACATGAGTTGTAAGGATATTAGAGTGTGTAGAGTGTAAGTGATCATGCCTCACCCATTTATATAGGAGTATTACCTTGTAGTCCAAGACTGCTCGGTTGGGCTGCCCAAGTGCCCGAGCTACCCGTTTGCACGGCTCGAGTACCCGAACAACCCAATTATATTACAACTTCGAATGATGATTAGTTGATCAAAACAAATTGTTGGCACATTTGAACCTAATTAACTGAAGTAGATGTAGGTGACAAAGTAGGCTCGACGCGAGAGGAAAGGTTCGATGCAATTGACGACTCAGGCTAAGGCGAATCGAGAGAGGCCACGTGGTCCAATACACGCGTGGTCCTTATCTTAGTTATATTCATCCTTATCTCTTATGTGGTGTGTTCACATTAGCCTACCTCGTTAGGTGCTCTAATTGTGCGACCAATTTGACTTTTTTTAACCAGGTTGCTCCGACCTTCAGTGTATAAACTTTATCTCGTAGGTCGCACCTTTGACCTGCATGCCTTCAGGTCGAGTTTTTATCAGGCTAGCCGAGAGCCCTTGCTCAATCTGTTGGTGATTCTCTTATCTGAAATCACCACCGACACGGTGACTCATCTTCCTTCGTTGTTCTTGATCTTCGACCGCCTTATCAATTCACGTGGTTCAGTTAGACCACTCTTTAGGTCGCACTCGACATGATATCACATATCACTAACCATTAGGTTTGTCTAATAGTAACTTATAAATATATATATATATATATTTTTTTTTTGGTGCCATTAATCACGAGAGAGAAAATCACAACCACCGATTATTTTCAGACATATTGGTGGAAAAAAAAATATATATGGGGTTTTTCATTTATATCTAGCAAACAAAGATGATTGAATATAGAAATTATTTTATTTTTTGTTTAGATTATAAATTTTTGTGTAACTTACAACGATTTATCTATTGAAGTCTTTTACTTTCTTTTCTACCAATGTCCGAATATAATAACAAATAAAATTACTATCATTAATTATCAAATATATGATTCTATTTTCATAGAATATCAACTCTAATAATTAACTTTTACCTTATGTTCATTTAAAATTAAAACAGAAATCTATTCCACAATTTTTAACCTTTTTATTTCCTTTTGTTTTCGAAGGGTATTTTAGGTTGGCTTCTTCAAAGTCAATTATTTCTATTGCCCAACCCTTGATTTTTCATAATGGGATATCTTCGAAATTTCCTAGCTGATATACGAATCTTTTTATTAATAATTATTCCTAAAAGAAAATTCTTTTGTAATTATTATTACTTAAAAAAAAAAAATGAGAGAGAGGAAAGAGAAGAGGAGAGATGTCAAGGAAACAATTATTTATTAATGGAACTTTCTTAATTTATGGAACTTTCTTTATTAATTTATGGAACTTTCTTCACTTACCTTACCTACCTACTACACCATTTTTAATTACTAATAAATGGAATAGTCGTATTCACAAATATATATTTTGACGAAAGAAATATTTTGTTGTCTTTTTAGGGTTGTTTTGGGAATGCCCATAGAAAGGATTGTTGTTTTTTTCTTTCTTTCTTTTTCTTTTTTCCAAACAATAGATGTATAGATAAGAACATAAAATATAATTAAACAATAACTAGAATAAGCCAAACAACTGTCTAGTTGAATCAAAGAGTAGACTACCACCCAAGAGCGCTTGGATGAGATGGCTTGGGTCTCTTTCAACTTAACTAGTGGTCTCGTATTCGAGCCCTGGGAATGCAGCAGTGTTAAAAACTCTTGAGGGAGAGCTTTGTCATACCCGGCTCGATTCCGGATTAGTCGGTTCCCCTGTGGATTCGGAAACCGGAAGGTCCCTGTACCAAAAAAAAGAGTAGACTACCGACGATGAGAGCCTAAAGAGACTATTCTAACACATCCACATGACAAAATAACTAAACAAAGTAAAACTCCCAAAAAGGGACTCTAGCTCCTACAAGAGAAGAACTAGCAACTAAAACAAGAAAAACACTCCCAGAAGACAACAAAATACGGCACTAAACCCAATTAAGATAGAATAATACCCTTCTCTTCATAGGAGAAACAAACCACAATACACCACGACTCGACACTCAGAGATAGACGCCCACTCAAATAGGACTTTGGCTCGAGCACTGCTCTAGAAATTCCAGTGTACCCACGACTGGCTAGAACCGCACCAGACGAACAAAAATCTTCTCCTAGACGGACCGCTCCTGGAGCTGAAACTGGAGGTCGACCCCTGCACCTCTCCCACCGACTGCGCCTTCAAGCTCGACCTACCGACCATCCAGCCACCAATAACCCTCAAACCACCAACCGACCATCCAATAACCATCAGTCCACGGCTAACCAACCGCCCAGCTTGGACCATCAAACTTAAGGAGA